CATAATTTGATAAAAAAAATATAGAATGAAATAAATAAATAATTGAAATTAAGGCTATTCACAAATACACCTTAGTGGAAGGTCATGATGAGGTGATTTTAGAGTAAACGATGGGACATGGTGTAGCCCCATTATGTTAAGTGCTATCAATTTAACTAAAAATGATTATATTATAAATCTTCTATTCATGTTGGTACAAGTTTATTTATATCAAATTTAATGAATTTTTAAAAAATTATTTTCTACAACCTTTTAAAAGATTCAAATTTAAATTAAAAAAAAAACCAAAACTGTTAATAACTTGAAGCTGCATTTAACCACAACTATGCATTTGATAAAACCAAAAAAACCACAACTATGTAATAACAGAGGTTTCATTTGAATTGCCGATGAAATTTTTTATTACGTCATCGCATTTGTTTGAGATTAAATCTTTAACGATGCAATAATTAAACAAAGTGACGACAGCAATACGAATTATACAATCGAAGCCAGAGCCAAAGAGCAATTCCGGTTAAAGAATGATCTATTAATTAGGCGTGAGTAAATTGTTGGTTCGATTTAAAAAAAATTAATAATTAATTTAATTAATTTTTATTTAATAAATAATTAAATTGATCGAATATTATTAAATAATTAATTATAATCGAATCGATCAAAATCGATTCGATTCGATCGGTTTGATTAAATAACATATTTTTTTTATTATTTTTTATTATGAATAATTATTTAATTATAAATTTAATTCAATAAAATTCAAACTTTAATATCATTCAAACAAAATTACTAAAGAATTTAATAATTTTAATAATATTTTACAAAAAATAAAAAATAAAAATATTTATCTCAATTTTTTTATTTTTAATTATTAAAAAATTAATTAATTTAATCAGTACAATTATTAATTTTAAAAATCTAAAATCAACCGAATTAATTAATTTAATCAATTTAAAAAATCGATTATAATTAAAATAAAATAAATTAAATCAATTCAATCAAATTTACTCTGTTTCGATCTATTTAATCAACTTATATCAATTTTTGTTCACCTCTACTGAGACTCAATTTTTTCATAATGAGGCTTAATCTTCAATGGGCTTTTTACGTGTCAAATTTTGGGCGGAGCTTTGGTGGAGCATGGTACTGAATTTGATATTTTCGTTTTGTATTTATATATTTATAATAATATTTATTTTATTTGCCTCCAAGCTAATTAAAAAGAGAGCATTTCACCTCTAGCATACCAATACAAATTTTATTGACCATAATTTTCACTCCAAGTTGATCCAAAGATTTCCTTCTCAATATCTCATGAAAGTAACCAAATTAGCTAGTCAGAAACAACTTAACGATAATTTAATAAGAGGTATATCATGTGCTTGAACTTCAATATTTGATCATTTCAATATCATGAAAAGAATTTTTAAATAAATAAGGTAATTAAATTTAATTTATATATAATGAAGTTAAAATGAATTCAAAATTTAATTCAGTTGATTTATATAAATATTTTTAAAATGTGATATCAAACGGATATAAAATTTAAAATTTAACGCTTGTATTTTTTTTTAATTCTTAGAATATAATTTCTTTTATATTAAAAAAGTTAACCTAAAATTAAAATATTGACCATATGTAATTTAATGCTAATTAATCCCTTTATAAACAAACTGAAACTTTAGAATCGAATTTTGTGGAATTACATCATCTCTCAAAAAAAGTGTAATAATGGATTAAAGTTCGAGAAAGATTAATCAGCCAAATCAACATTTTTTTTTCTTCGAAGAAAAGGCTTCAAAAAACCGTAAAGCACTATTTCAAGTAATCAAAATATTGGCTAGGTTGTTTGCCAAGTGGTATGATTTATGGTTAGGCGTAGTAGATAAGTAACCATACCAAATTACCGACGCCACACTACGATTATTCAATTTTATTATAATCAGCTTGCAAGCAACAACCTTAAAAGAAACCTGCGAAAAATAGTTGCATTTAGGTTATCCGTCGCCACCCACTTTTTATCATGCTCCAAATTTGCACCCCATCTCACAAAACATTTGTAAATTGTATCTGTAGAAACTCGCCTTTGACACTCAACCAAGTAGCGTTGTTCCCATTCTCATTACTCTTTGCCCAAACATTCCATAAGCGGGAGAAACTTCCGGATGAGCCCTGGATTTTGTTAAAACTCCCAATTTTAAGAAATTGCCCGCTCACAAGAATTTGTTACGAGTCACAGATTGGGTGAAGCAGCTACACAAAAATTTCAGCTCACCAAATCAAACCAATTGGGCCAAAACATGCACGCCAAGAAACAAATGTCCTATCCCTTATAACGCATTGCCCCCCACCCCTCCCCCATGCAAAATTAGCCAATTTTCCTTTCGTATCTTGTCATCCAAAAACCATGATCAACCCTAGCAGCAATCTAACTTCCTCCTCCTCTTCCTCCGATGATAGTTTTCTTGGAAACTTTGTTTCCGGGCGGCTGTTTTTCTTACGAGATCTTCAAGTTTTGGAGCTAATTCTTTCGCTTATCATCTTTATTACTATAAATTCCTTGAGGCAAAAAAGACGTTATGGCCTGCCTGTGTGGCCATTCCTAGGTATGCTACCATCGTTAGTGTCCGGTCTTCAATCCGACATGTACGAATGGATTTCCGATATACTTTGCCAGCAAAATGGTACTTTCAAGTTCAAAGGTCCATGGTTTAGTAGTCTCAATTGCGTGGTTACTGCTGATCCTAGGAACCTTGAGCATCTTCTCAAGACCAAATTCTCTGTTTTCCCCAAAGGGCCTTATTTCCGTGACACCGTTCGTGATCTCCTCGGAGATGGGATATTTAGTGCAGATGATGATACCTGGCAACGACAGAGGAAAACAGCTAGCATTGAGTTCCATTCGGCTAAGTTCAGGCAATTGACCATCGACTCATTGCTCGAGCTTGTTCATGCCAGGCTCTTGCCTGTCTTGGAAAACGCAGTGAACAAATCAATCTCCATTGATCTCCAAGATGTCCTGTTGAGGTTAACTTTTGATAATGTTTGCATGATAGCCTTTGGGGTTGACCCCGGGTGTCTACGTCCTGGATTGCCCGAAATACCATTCGCCAGAGCCTTTGAGGACGCAACTGAGGCTACTTTGCTACGTTTCGTTACGCCAACATGTATATGGAAAACCATGAGGTTCCTTGATTTGGGAACAGAAAAGAAGCTGAAAAGATCGATAAAGGGCGTGGACCAATTTGCTGAAGAAGTTATCAGAACAAGGAAAAAGGAATTGTCCTTACAAACAGAAGAGAAGAAGCAGAGATCAGACTTGTTAACAGTATTTATGAGGTTGAAAGATGAACAAGGAAAGCCATTTTCAGACAAGTTCCTGCGCGATATTTGTGTGAACTTCATACTTGCCGGAAGAGATACTTCTTCGGTGGCATTGAGCTGGTTTTTCTGGTTGCTGGAAAAGAACCCAATGGTGGAGGAAAAAATTCTTGAAGAGATATGCAGAATTATTAATGAGAGACAAGAGATGCAAAACGGGCCGTTGATATTTAGAGCAGAGGAGATAAAGAAGATGGATTATTTGCAAGCTGCATTATCAGAGGCTTTGAGATTGTATCCTTCCGTCCCTGTTGATCACAAGGAGGTATCTACCTTTTAATCATCAATGATTAGTTTTCATCTTTGGCGGGTTATTGGCATAACTAATTTCTTTGATCGGAATATGAAATTAACCAAAGCTATGTTCAGGTTGCTTTTGCCATAATTCTTCCTATTCAAGTTACCGCAATTTTACTTTAGTGCTATTATTTTTTTATTAAATCATAAAACTTTCTTTTTTAAGGAAGAGACCATACTTTGGGATAGGGTAAGGAATTGCATATATTAAAATTTAAATCTCAAACTTACAAGATACTACTTCTTAATAATAATTGTATAATTTAATTGAGTTATATTCTGAGTTTTAGATCATCAAAGCTTAGGCTACATTATTTTCATGCTAATCTCTTGGTTTGTCGTGGCCTAGGAATGATTTTGGTGAGTTTGTTGTTCACCTAACCGCACATTATGGTCAAGACACATAACCTAGGAGTATCAAATAGTTAAAATGAAATAATAAGTTGATCACCTAGATTTAAGTGAAGACTATATGAGGTTTAAAACGAAATTTAATTCGGTTGATTTATATAATTATCTTTAAAATATAATATTTAGCAGAATTGAAATTCAAATATCAATACTCACAATTTTTTTCTTTCGTGGTTTTTTATTAAAAAAAAAAAAAAAAACTTAGAAACTTGTGACTGAAACTCTACCTATTTCTCTAAACCCTATTTCCCCTTAATTATTAACTTATCCTCTGTCATTTAAACATTGATTTATTGATCATTCAGGTTGTTGAAGATGAAGTATTTCCAGATGGAACAGTGCTAAAAAAAGGAACAAAAGTAATTTATGCAATCTACGCAATGGGAAGAATGGAAGCCATATGGGGAAAAGATTGCAGGGAGTATAAACCAGAGAGATGGCTAAGAGATGGCAGGTATATGAGTGAGTCGGCCTACAAATTCACTGCCTTCAATGGAGGTCCTCGGCTCTGCTTAGGAAAAGATTTTGCTTATTATCAGATGAAGTTTGCTGCTGCCTCAATCATATACCGTTACCGCGTGAAGGTGGTGAAAGATCATCTTGTTGCACCAAAACTTGCATTGACCATGTACATGAAGCATGGCCTTAAGGTGAACCTAATCGAGCGCCACGAATCAGAGCTTCAAAACTACCTGAAGACGCATACTTGAATATATTGAATAAGCCTTCTGTTAATAATTATGTTTCCTCAGTCTTCTTCTTTTTCCAGATGCACTGATGCTATTGAACCATATACATTTGGTTATGTTTAGGATGGTGCAATAATGGATTTGTTATATATATATATATATATATATATATATTGGATTGTTCATTATTTGGTAACTACTGATCTATGTAAGTATTTCTACGGTCATCTGAGCCATTAAAGCTACATATGAATAAATCAAACATGACATTTGTTTCAAGTAACAAGGCCTGTAAAAACACTGCCTTCCCATTAAAAATTCATTGTCCATCAAAGATTCAGTCAATCCTTCCATCACTTTTACTGCAAAAAGTCCTACATGTTCTGCTTTCCAAATGAGGTTTCTGGGATTACCAATATTCACGATGCTTCAGAGGCTGAAAATCTGCCCATTTTGGAGGCAAGAAGCAGATTATCTTCCGCGCTGCTTTTTTATCCAAACATTATTGGATTAGCCCTGATCGCTCATCAAACCTGAATGGTTTCATTCCTAATCAAAATCAACGAACAAAATTGAACCTCCAATCACCTACACACGTTTCATCAAGGCCGAGCAACATACTCAAAATCAGCAATATTGACTAGGGTGAGAATTGGACAAGAAAGGCTCACATTGTCCTTGGTGGATGATAAAGGTATAGGTGAGAAATATGGCAAAAGAAATGAGTAAGAATAATATATACAGCACCGCTGCATAAGAGCCTGTCCATGTATTATCTGACATATTTACGGTACAAATATGAGCTTGAACATTATACATATCGTAGAAAAAAAGCATGAAAGCCTTATCAAAATAGACATCCTATAATTGAGTTCGGAACAATGATAAGTGTTGGCTCAGGTATAAATAGGCATTCAACATGATTTGAAGATAGAAAATAAGGAAATAGTTACATAGAAGTGACTTCACCAACAACCTGTTTATTGTTTAATAAGGTACAGCATGCTCACATTATCAGTAGATATATTGGTCCATTCAGAAATGAAAATAGCCCTCCCACAAAACGTTGTTCATGGGTCACAAGTAATTTTGAAATGTAGGATAGTACAAGCCAGCTTCCTGTAGCAGGCTAACTAGAAGAAAAATGCTGAAATTTAAATTAGTAAGAAACAGAAAATTCATAAGGTAATTTCTGTGCCTTTATGTTCTCATTTTTCTCTCTTCAATTATATACTGCATCTAGGTGCTGGAAATCACCTCATTCAGGCCCTCCCATCCCACTCATCATAAAATTCTTTAAGGAATTCCTCCATGAACTTATGCCTTTTCTCAGCCCTACTTTGCCCAACCTGAAATTTCCATCAATTCTCAAACTCAATGGCACAAGAGATGCTAAGAATACTTGCGATAGCACATATATGGACAACTAAAGTAATATCATGCACCCAATCATGGTTATGGCTAGAAGGACTGGCTTACACATCTGATTACCTTAGTTTTCATCAAATCCTTTAACTTGAGAAGCTTTTCGTGGAAATGATTCACAGTAGTCTGCTCCTCTTTCTTCATGTACTGTTCCTTGGATAAGTCTGATCGTGGCTGGATGGCAGGATCATGAAGCACTCTGTTTCTGTTTCCACCAAAAGTAAAGCAGCGAGCAATTCCTGAAATCAAAGAACTTGAGTTCAGCACAAGACTTATGGGTATTTTATTTGTGTGAGCTACATTCGTAGAGGAGAAAAGAGCATAAAAAAGGTACAGATATCTTTATGTGAGCATGCATATGAGCAATTATGCCAGCAATGTGTTATATAAACCACCCTACAGGCAAAAGAAATGTTGAGGACATAATTTCTTCTCATGTCAGCCAAGTATACACTATGAAACTATTTAAAATTCGAGCTTATAACATTCGTATCAGATCATGGGTGAGGAATTTTCCTTCAGAAGCTAACACACAAACTGAATAAAACAAGGTAAATAACACACAAATTACCTATTGCACCGATTGCATCAAGACGATCAGCATCTTGCACAACCCCAAATTCAGGGGGAAAATCATCGTTTCCTAGCCTTGCAAGTTCATCTTTAAACCCTGAAAAAACAGGACATCAGTCATACTCATTTCTTAAACCAAGGAGCTCATAATAAAGGATACTTAGAACACTGGTAATGTACAAGGAGAAGCCTACTTGACATTCAATTATTGAATAGGATTGATATGAGGATACTTTAGTGACTAAGATAGTAGGGTCACATATATGAAAGCAGAAATGGCACAAGATTAGCTAAACAATAATCCTCATACTTACCCATTCCCTTTATGATGCTTAATATCTTTATCTTTTTGCTGTCATCGATGCCCTCTTCCTCAAGAAAATTCTCAACAAGTTTCTCCTCAGATGGATCCCTGCATGCCAATGAAGGAACTCAAACATCAGAGCAAATGAAAAATGAAAACAGTCTTTGGGTAGCGCAATACTAAAGCTAACTTAACTAGAAGAAGGAATGCACTAATGGACTGTATTTAGGAAACAGAAAAGCAACTCTAATGCCAGATAGGAGTTAATTAATACACATTACGCGGTACTTATGCAAATATTAGAAATACAAACCTCAAGTATTTGTAATCACCTGTAGCAGAACAAGAAACCAACATTTATTAATGATCAGTAAATTTTGGGGACGAAAAGGGTTTTGAGAATAGGAATAGAAGAGGACCTATATCATGAAGCAGTGCAGCTAGCTCTACCTGCCATGCAAAATCAAAGGCAGAAGACAAATTTAGAAGGAAATCAACAGAAGGGAAGTGAAAAGTTGAAGAACAGTGAAAGACCTTAGCTTTGGAATTAAACACATGAAACAGATTCTAAGGCCTCTAAACTCCAGTAGAAGATCAAATAAATAAAATAGAGCAGAATCCCCAATCAATTGTTCAGTTCAGAGAAATAGCTCAGAGTTTGGAGCCTCAAAAATAAGTTTCAAGACTTGAACTAATTTTTTCAGTACAAAGAGGGAAGTAAACTGGAAACCAAAATATATATTCATTTACGATTTCCATGGAGTCAGGGTTGGAGGAGAGGCCTTCCTCTCGTGCGAGGGAGAGGGCGAGGTCTCTGACCCTCCACACGTGCGAGGCATCATGGGAGGCATCGTTCCATTTCATTGCTCTCTCCACCAGCTGCTCCGCCCTTTTCACCGTGTTTCCGCCCGCCATTCCCTCCCTCGATTACCCAACTGCCCAATCTTGGCTGTCATATATACAGTGTAATTGGTAATTTCGGTCTTTAGGGTGGCCAGTGGTGGGTCGAACTCTGTTTGAGATGGGCTTTATGATAGCTTAGTGGTCACTGAATTGCGAGTAAAACAAAGCAATTGGACCAAATCTCATAAACCCAAACCAGCTATCAGGTTTCTTAGTCAACGGTTTTATTTGGAAAAAAAAAATCAACTACTTTAATGTGAGATCATTAGATGGTTCAATTTATAAATAAATAAACATTCAAAAAAAAAAAAAAATTAAAACAGTGAACGATTCATTGTTGAGTGTTTGATCACAATGCGAATCCAAATGGCTGTGTTGCGACCAGTTCTACTTGGCAGCTTCATTTGGTCCTTCGGGAACTGTCCAAACTTAACAGCAGCAAAATCTGCTTTTTGTATCAAATCTGATATAATACTCAATTAAAAACACATCAAATATAATCCAATGAAAAACAACAGCTTTTAACTCAAGATACGTCAGTACTCACTAAATTAAAATGACCAACTAACAATGTTGTAAACAAATGGATTACATATCGAAAACCAGTGCAACGTGTTGGAAAATAAGTTGTGGAGCAAAACTCAAATTTTTAAAGAATATAGCGAATACAAACAAATAAGGATTTGCCTTTTTCTCTATGTATCCGACCATGAAGTCATAGCTGATTTGCTTTCCTCCAATTGCAGGTTATCTATAGCCATACCATCATTGGCAATGGCATCAATCCATAGAGGAAGATATTTAAATAACATAATAATGATTAATTGTTGTATTTCTTTGTTTCTCTCTCTTTCTCCTTTTTTTTTTAATACATATAGAAGCTGTTTAAAGTGATTTTGAATAGAAAAATCCTTAAATTGCAACTGCTTCCGGGATTAGAGGAATTGGATTTTTGGAGGGTTTTGTAAATTTGGAATTGACAACTAAGAACAAAAGACAAAAGGTGGATCCAAAATGTTTTATCATTATCATTGTAAACAGTCATGTAATCTCTTGATAAAATGTTAAATTTTTAATATTAATAATCAGAATTCAATTTTTAATAATTTCGTTTCATTAATGTCTCAGCTAAGCCGCCCCTAACATCCAACTATAGAATCGGCAGGCTCTAATGAGATTTTAAGAGTCAAAGTAACGAATGAAAAATAAACACAACTAAATTATTTTGTTTGAAATTTTCAACCTTTAACAGGGCACATTTTAGTTTCATTACCTAATTAAACTTCAAACATATGTTTCACTGATTGTCAACGATGACATATTGACATATACAGGTTATCATGATTAGACATTTAAAGGTTAATTAATTAGCCGATAATCGTCAATTTAATCTGTGTACATTGTATGAATTTCATGAATCCACGCTCTTGACTTCACTGATCATGCATGCGCATTTTTATAATTCCTAATTCAAATATTATAGGCGTGTATAAATGTAGATTTAAAAGTTTCCAAATCCACAATAACTATATATTGTAGAAGATGACTGCTAATCTGCATTGCAAATTAAATTTAGTAGCTTTAAAAAGTAAATTATTAAAAGTTTATTTACATTTATAGTAGCTTAAAAATTTAAATTATTCCAATTGATATCAATACGTGCATTTTATGATTGAATTCTTAAGAGCCCTTAATTGAACTCCTAAATCAATTTTGTAAGGAAACAAGGAAAAAGAGGGAGCATACTTTTTTAGAAAAATAATTAGGTGGACCAGTTTATTTTTGCGAAAGTACATAGCAAATTCTTGGCATCAAAAACTAGTTGATCGCTATCCCTTTCTCTTTCAAACATGGAAGCAACTTCAACTGCACTAGACATTCTTTCACATATAGAGTAACTGTTTTCATATTTGATCAAAATATATATGATATGTAAGTTTTTACATAGGAACATGGGAATCATGACGTTGGGTTTCTATTTTTGCGGCCATCAGGATTATTTATTAGGAAAACGCACGCCTCAAAGGTGCGTACATTTTCTTTTAGTACTTTTACAAGCTTTAATTTCATAATTTTCTAAAAAGACTCCATCCGATAAACCTTCGTAGGAAACTTCTCAAAATTTTACTATACATTACAAGCGTCTACATTTAAAAGACTAGATGGATGATAGATCATTTGAATTTCGATCCAATTACTATGGCTTTTTCGTTAGTTTTATAAGTCTGTATGTTAATTGTGAACATTAGAAATCCCAAATTAATAAAGCTAGTCTTCCCTTATTTATATAAAGCAATTGGTTTCACTTATGCGTATACAAGACTTCATTAGTTACAACTATTCCTCATTTTTACAAAAAAAAAAAAAAAATGCTGGGGGTTTCCAGGCTTTATCTAAGTCTAATTTCTTCTCCCAACCATTTTAAGAGTGCACTTCCCGTATTAATCTAATGTATTTTGGGTTCTATTTAAAGAGAGATTTTCATAAGAATCAGATTGATAAGGAAAAAGAGTTCTTCGCCTTGCTAACTAGACTAACCTCTTATGCTGTTGGTATCTATATTTCATCTTTAAGGAAACCATGGAAACTCATTTGCTTTTGTTTTTTCCATTTTAGTTTGTTTATTATTTTGATGCAAAAATACTAGGGCCTAAATAAAAATATTAAAAATATAAAAACATGTATACATATATAGAAGGTTAAGACTTGAGAAAATTTTGAAGTCAAGAGTTGAATAAAAGCAAACAAAGGTAGCATGGAGCAGGTAAAAACGCGTGTTTATGTATATGTCGAGTCCACTCAGAAGATTGTTGTTATCTTTATATTTTTCCATGAAGAGGAAATTAAGTTTATATTCTCAATCAAGAAAATTAAAAGAACCATCTTCAGTATATATAAATATATATACATTTTTTTTTTTGTTTTTGGTCTAACTAATTAATATTTAATAGGTTTAATATATAACGATATATAAGCTTCAGATATTAAAATTTTAATATATATAATATTTTTCACATAATCAGTCAATCTACCATAAGCTAATGCATGGATGATACTTGACGATTCATTTTGGCTATCTAAATTAATCATCTCTGTTCAGCTAGCTAGCGAGAGAGGGGGGTCACTTGTAAAGAACTAAAGTTCAAAAAGAAATGAATATAAATACATTTCATTCCCTTATTAAACCTAATAAAATGGAAATTAAAATAAAACATGCATATATCTGCAGGCTTCATTATTTATCAATTATTATTATTGGATAAATATCTGTCCCATTATTTAATATTATTCATGCTGCATATTCCTATGTCACCTAGCATATTAATCCCACACTATTAAATAGGGGATCACGTACGTCGCTGCCATGCATATGATAACCTAGCTACCATCACGACATCTCTTTTAATCGGCTTATAAAGTTTTATTTAATTAATTGTATTAATTAAAGTTAGGTTTTGAATCTCTTTAATTAATTTAACTTACGAGCTTTTAGAGATGTTCAATTGAATTTATATAAATTTTTTCATCAATGTTTTTATTTCTATACTGATGACTATATATTGATCAGTTAATGATACAGTATTTAACTATATATTTTTTAAGTTCATAAAAGAATTAACTATATATATTTTAGGGTGGTCGCCCTATGTACGTGACCTATATATATGGCTTAATTTCGCATGCGTCAAATCAATGGCAATTAGAGGAAATGGATAAATACCAAATAATAAAATAAAATTAAAGATGAAAAGCCTTCCATTCAATCTGGTACCTTTGTCACCAGAAAAATAAATCTGTTTAAGAATTACGTTATTTATTTAATCTAACTCAAGTAAGATATTAGATAAGAGATTTGAAGTTTAGTTTCAACTTAATTCAATTCGAAATATTTAAAAATGAATGAAAATTATTTTTTATTTAATTTTAATTTTTATATATTTTAAATTATTTAAATATTACTTTTAGCCAATGAATTAATTGATTTTGGTCCTTTAAAATTTTATTATTAAATCAATATGACATATTGTTTGTATTGTGTATTAAGGAAGCTGGTAGTGGAATTGGTGAAAGCGTGAACAAGGTGAAAACGTGTAAGAACAAAAACTGGGCCACGAAGTCCAGGTCTTCTTTCCAAATCAAACCTAAATTACTTATGAGGAAAAAAAAAACAAAGGGTAAGTTTATTTTCTTATGAATAGAATAATAGTTGTCATTACTATATTATTTAGTAATAGCGACCCAATAAGAGAGCCAACCATTGGGGTATTGAAAGTCCTCCATGCCTACTTTCTCCCCTCTCTCTCTTCCATGGCCGAGCCCCTAAAGAAAACCCATCAAACCAACCCCAGAAGCAGTTGCTTTCTCGGTTGTTTTGGGTTTTCCGGCCAGAAAAAACCCGTCGAAAAACCCATCCAAACCGGTACCAAAAAGAATCCCCATTCGCTCTCTTGGCCAATGTTTCGTTTGAGCTTGAGGAAGTCCCGTACCAAAACCGTGCCTGTGGATAACACCGACAAGGCGGAGGCTGATCATAGCCATACACCAAAGCTGATCAAGAAGAAATCGGATGGTAAGCTCTCCTCTAAACCTCAGAGCCCTACCAATCATAAACCTTCACGTCAAAATTCCAAAGCTGAACAGCAACTGACGTCCTCCAATCGAGCTGCGAGAGAGACACCAAAAGAGGTTAGTGTAAAAAGTGTTGAAATCCTAAGCTTCTTTTAGCTAAATATCACTTTTAGCATTATTATGTAGGCAAAAAAGGTCATCTATGTCGTCACTTGCAACTTTTTTGTTTTACATTTCTACTTTTGGATTTCACTATTTTCAGACAAGGCTGCAGGGACCTGAACCGAATATCATCCCCGGAAACAGGAAACTTTTGGACCCAACGAGCACAGGGTCAAGCCTACCGGGTTCACCGAAAATGTTCAAGACCAAACCCCAACCCAAAACTCAAACCAAGTTGTTCCACACGGTTTCGTCACCGGTCCTAGAAGGGAACCAACGGGTGGGAAATCCCCGGATTCATGCTCGGACCAACTTAAAGGAGCTCCAACGGAAAAACAACGAGGTGGTTGAAAAATTGGACTCCATGATGGGTATGTCTATTATTATGGTGACCTTGATAATAATGTTACTTTGGGGTCGATTATGTGCCATTCTTTGTACGTCGGCATGGTTTTACTTCTGCCCTAGTTTTCGGCCCACAATTAACAATAATGACACTACTGTTAAAAGCACAGCCAATTCAAATGATTTAGACTTGGATTCGGAGGATTACAAAAAGAAGGTGGTGTTGGAGGGGTTGCTTGAGAGGAACCACCGGATTACACTATGAAACTTTTGTACAAACAATTTTCCTTTTGATTTTGATGCGCACATTAGACGAAACTATATATGTTTTGCTATAGTGAGCCTGAAGGGCATTTTGTGTAAATTATAGCAATGAAAATTTAGTTGTAAACTTTTATGAAAATGTGGGGTCAATGTCTTCTAGAATCAAAGTAGAGTTGTTCCAATTTGGTGTTCTTGTTTAATTGGCAGTTGGGCATATCACGTGACTTTTGTTGTGGAGCACGTGCCCAGTACTTCACTAATGTGATGGGATGGCCACTTTTGGGCTCTAACATGGCGGTCAGCTTCAGTTGTCTGCTACTGCATCACCTAACATTAACAAGCGAATTTAAGAAAAAAAACTGAATCTATCTCTATCCAAAGATTTTACTTAATTTCTCATATAGTTTTGATCCTTTTTAATCAATTTGATTTTTCTTCTTTTCTTATGATTTTATTTGCAGATGATTATTAATTCTTTTGATTTGAGGAAAGTTCATGAAACATAATTTTCAATACGATGAGAATTTTCTAATCCACTTCTCAAATAAATTCTTATCCGTTTCTTCTATTCATTAGGCTACTTTAATGCAAAGCAATGGATTTGGTCCCACCAATTAACTTCGTTACTTTAGATACTTTAATCATGCAAATGTCATTTTTCCTTTGTTAATAAAAATTTAGGTTTTGTTTGGTAATTCATAATAAATGTAATATGAGTGACTAAATCGTTATTTTTCATAGTTAGGAAATCAAAATAAAATATTTTTAAAAAATTAAGTTATATTATTCTTATAAAAAATTATAATACATGTAAAATTTTTTAATTTTATATTGATGTAATTTGATATTTCTTCTATGTATTCATCCACGAGACCACGGATTATACTAAACGAAAAGCATATCACTCGGATCATATGAGCTTTAATAATTGGAAGACGAAGCTTGTGTTATATATATATATATATATATATATTATCATGCAATTTAAAAGGGAAATCGTGTAGTATATTATATATATATATATATATGGATAGAATGATGATATAGCTGATATTTTCAAGTATTAGACCATATCATTTGTATGTGGTCAAAAACAACAAATATCCTTTGAAATCACAAGGCTCGTCTAATCCAATTTATTTCTGGGGCTCTCAGTTTCCATATCTTAGCCACGTCTCACTCGTTCTTGCCTCGGATGATTTAACATTGAACTGTAAGGATAGGACTAGTACGAATCTAAATTCGGTCATGCTGTTTGATGGAAACACTTGGGAACCACAAAGCTAAGTTTAAAACAATTTTAAATGTGAGATTAGTTCAATTAATTTGTATAATTATTTTTTAAACATAATATTTAATAAATTTATATTTTAAATATTTATAATAATATAATTATTTTTATTTTCAAATTGTTTTTGAATTAAAAATATTATAATAGGTTAAAGAACTTTTAATTTAATACGAATGTGAGGCCTCATTTTAGATAGCTAGGCTGTCACCAGGGGTATTAATTATGGTAGATGTTATCCACTATCTCTTACTAGCCGAATATAATTTTCTTTCGCAATGAAAATTACAACTTACAAAATATTGATAGGATTTATACAATTAAGTGTTATATTTCATAAAAAAATTCATTTTGAAATAAGTTAAACAAATAAATTAATGGACAAACTATCATACAATTAAAGAAAATAATATTTTATAATTAAAAGTTAATATCATTATTGACTCTTAAATTATAATAAAATATTTAATGTGATATTTAAATTATAATAATATTAATTAATATAATATTTGGATGATTATTTATCCGTTATGTGTTATTATTTGAAACTAGTTACATTAAAAATGAGTATCATATTAGTTCATAAATTTATAATTTAAATATAATATTAAAAATTTTTAAAGTTCATGTATTATATTAAACATTTTACTTAAATCAAAATCACATATTATTATATTTGAATCTAAAATTCCCAAATTCTTCAGTTTTTGGTTGGAAAAAATTTAGGATGAAAAGAGACTTCTTCATTTTGAAGTAGACTTGCTCATGGATCAGATCAAATCGGGTTCGAACCGATCCTGATATGATATTTTCAGATTTTAAATAAGCTTAGGCTTAGGCAAGCTCAATTTTTCAGGCCTTATTTTTTGCTCAAATTTATTTTTACATGTAATAATAAAATTCAAATTCGCTCAAAGCACTGATATTTAAAATTAAAAAAATAGCTTATAATTAATTTTAATTGAATTTATAAATCATTTGGACTTAGATCCAATTTAATTTTGTTGAATGCAATATAAAATTATATTATTATTTTGTATAAAGAAAAAATGAGTTTTATCATATTATAAGTAATAAAACAAATGAACCTTATCAATTATAAAATATAAAGAAAATGAGCTTTGTCTCATTATAATAAAAAATATTTTTTTAATTTTCGAGTTAAACTCATACTTTAAATAGTGAAACTTAAACTCGATTTTATTTTTTGATAAAATCTTATTTATTTATTTATACCCATTTAATGAGTTTAATATTCATGTCTAACTATTTCAAAATTTTAGATAGATTTTCGAGCTTGGATAGACCGTTCGGTCCATGAGCAAATGCAAATTTAATTTGGAGTTAAAACAAACCACATGTTTCATAAAAAATTTTCATTGAATTTACAAATTATTCAAAAATAAAAAATACTAACGACTAAATTTAAATATAAATTTTATAAATGAAATATTTGAATCTTACTAATTCAATTAAACCCATTAACCGTTGACTCTAAAATTTTAAAGTTCGCACACACCATAACCTAATTGTTAATTTGGTTTGTACGGCTTATAATGATCTACACTTAGGCTTGACACTAAAAAAAATTTACAATTGGGCTCATATAGGCTCTAGCCTCTCTAACGTAACGTGGGTTTTAGTCTTTTGTTAAAAAAAGGCGAATAATTAAATAATTATTTTTTAATTTATATGTTATGAGAAATTCCGTTATCAATATGTAAAAAATTTTAATTCTTTATACTATTTGTAAAATGTTTGATTTGGCAAAAAAAGTCAACACGAAAAAAAATTATAAAAAAGAAATATTTAAATCTTAGCCACGTGTCAATCGTTCTTGCTTGGTTTTTATTTTAGCATGGAAAGCTACTATATAGCGAAAAAGCTTTTAACATTTCTTGTGTAAACTGTAGCTTGCCTTGAAGGTGTTCACTCTTAGTCCTGCCTAGCATTTTACATGCACAGTATGTAGAACATTATTGAGTTTTTGATGAGTATGTGATGTTGGCCAAAAAAAAAAATTGCTGTGATGAAAAGAAAAGACTTTGACACGTAGAAGTAGTTATGAGAAACCAACTAAGGTTTAATAATTAATATTGAACTTTTAGGTTTGGATATGTAAGAATCTAAATTTGGTTAGCTGTCTAAGGGAAACACTAGGAAACCACAAAGCCAATTTTAAAACACTTTGAATATGGGGTTTGTATAAGTTAGTTTATATAATTATTTTTAAAAAATAATATTTAATATGTTAAGAGTTTAAATTTTAATATTTATAATTTTTTTTCTTTATCTTCAAAATACAGCCATATATATATATATATAAACTAGCTTTTTTTAATGCAAGTGATGGACATGATTTTTTTTTATATATTTTTTATAATTTAAAAAATTGAGTTTTGAAATAAATTTTATTTAATTTAAATCGATAAATATATTTCAATTTTAAAAAATAATAATAAGTGATATTATAATTTCAAATTTTAAAGAAGTTTAAAAAATAAAAGATTAAGAGTAAATTTATCAAGATAAAAATATTTTTTTTCAAAATTTAAAGTTTAAAACTTTTATTTCATGATTTAATCTGGATTTTGATTATTTACTTTCTTCAAATTTAGAATATTTATCTTTTCAAATTCTTTAATTTGTGAATTATAAAATTAAATTAGCATTTTATTTAAAATATAATAAAGATTTATATAATTAATAATTAATTTAAATATATTAATTTAATTTAATTGATAAATAACATAAAAATAAGAATTATCTTGCATGTTAAATTTTTTTGGGTCAAATAAATAGATTATCTACTTAAGCATTCATGTAAATAAATTTTATGAGAAAACTATATATCCTTTAATATAATACATTACAATATAATATAATATAATATATGATTAAAACACTTTAAACAACTTTTAATTTAGTGCAAATATGATGACTCATTTTGGATGGGTTTTCACAATGGTCCATGTGTAGTAATTATGCTAAGGTCTTACTCACATCTCTTACTCGCCTAATTTGAGTTTCTTTTTTAATGAAAATTACAACTTATAAATATACACATGATTTATACAAATATTAAGTAGGGTTAATAATACCCATAATATTTAAATTTTGATCAAAATTTATTTTTATCTTTAATATTTTAAAATTTTTAAATGGGTTCTCAATTACTCAAAATTGTCTTGTTTTGATCATTTCATCTATGAAATCGTCAAAATTAATGATAAATACCAATTAACGTGTAATACCCCAGCTCAAATAATTATTGGGTTAGATTAATGTAATACCTCAGCCCAAATAATAATTGGGTTAGACTAATATTAAAGCCCATTAGTTTATTAAGATATTATTTAGTAAAAGAAAAAGGGTTAAAGTATTAGATTAAAGAAAACCTAACTATCGTGAAACAGAAAGGAAATAGAGTTCTTCTTCCTCATCTTCCTTAGGGTTAGAGAATATGAAAAAATCAAATTGAAGATTCACAATCAGAGGCTACAATCAAGTTAATCCCTTAAAGATGAGTACATGCACTCTTTTTATTTGAAAAGAAATATCAAGTTGATTGCTATTATTTGGAGTTGAAGTTTTGAGAGAAAAATCAAGAAAAATCATGAAATCCTTCATTAATCTTGATGATCTATTTGGGTAAATTACTGGGCTTTGTTTATTTCATGTTCTTAAGATTTATTGATGATTATTAAATGGAGTTTGAAGGCTGAAAGTAAGGATTTGAGTTTTTAAAGATTGAAGGAGAAATTCTATTTTTGGATGAGATGTTATGATCTGTAATAATGAATTAAAATAGAATTTTGTATTAATGGATAGATTATTGCTGTGATTATTATATATCATTGGAAAGCATGTTGAATCTAGTTTCTAATGAAACAAACGAAAGTCAAATCCGAGTTTTCTATGAAGAGTTGTCTAATTTTTAACTTAAGGATATACAGGCTGTAAGACAGCAGCATCAGGGTTAAATTACGAAATTTTCCTTAATTTGTATACAAGGATTTACAGATTAAGCCATATATTTTTGGAAATTTTATTGAGTCTACTTTCCAATGAAACAAGCGGAATTGAATTTGGAGTTTCCTATGAATAAATATACAATTTTTATTAGAAGGTATACAGGCTGTTTGGCAGCAGTATATAACGTGGATTTCAAAAATTGTTATAATTAATCTACAAGGAATTACAATGTGTGCCATATATGGTTAGAAAGCTTATCAAGTCTAATTTCTAACGCATTAAAGAGATCATAATTTCAATTTGGATATATTGAGATATGACTGTTTTAATGAAAAGAGGTCGGGCTGCCAGTATTAATTAGTTAAGTTAACCATTGTGTAACTTAGTTGATTTTTTTATAAATGATCTCAAAAAGGGTTGATTAAATTCTGATCTGTTGAAATGATCTTGGATAGGCCATTAATTATTTTGGGGGAAAAACTAAGTGATGGAATCGAATGAAGGTAAGTAGAATCTCATATACTTTGCTTGTTTTCGAATCTATGTATATATATATGTTTCTAAATGAAAGAATATTTTATTTCATTATTTTCAATGTATGAAAATAGAATCAAGCATATGATTATTTTGTGTTTCTCTATATAAATGATGAATCATGCTTATGAATGAAATAAGAAAATGATTTATATTTAAAGAATGATTTTATGATAGCTACGTTTTTATATCTTTGGGAAGTGGGATCATCGACACTAAAACTTAGTTTACGACCCTGGCTAACGGGTAATAGTAGTTAGCAAAGACATGATCATACGGACCCTGACTAACGGGTAATAGTAGTTAGTGTAAGCCCTGGCTAAAAGGTTATAATAGTTAGCAATGATCATAAGAATGAAATTATCGATACGGCCAATGTCACGAGTTATAGTAGCGATCGTAGCTAACGATAAATAAATGATAATGATGATTTATGATGATTTTAATGATTGATCCATGATTTGGTTTGATTATGATATTTGAATGATAGCATATTTTACAATAATTTATGAAGTGACATATTTTGACATTGATTTATGAATTTATGAAATATTTGACAAAACAATGATCTTAAAATGTTTTGATATTATGATTTGATGAATGTTTTGAATGATCTATCTGATGTGTAAGAAAATAATGCTTGATCTGATAAGGTGTGTGAGTCTATACTTACTGAACTGTGGTTTGCTCATTTTTCTTTTACTTTTTCTTTACAGATGACTAAGTGATAAGTTTGGTTACTCTTGTATGAAGCTAGAAGATTAAATGGGTAAGATTATTTAATCGTCGGAGAATATGTTAGCCAATGGGATTTTAAGAGGCAGTTTTATATTTTATATGGTTTGTATTTGGATGTATAAAGATGTATCATCAGTTGGATTAAAGATATGAATTTTACTTGGTATATTATTTTATTGAAGAATTTTAGAATGTTTAATAAATAAGGCTTCGTATTACTTTGAGATTTTCTTCAAGGTAATATAGCCGTGTTATGCCTCGATTCGGAACGTGATATAATGTTACATGATTACATCAACTAACATCACACGTAACAAATGAGGGAGCAAAATAAAATTATTTCAAAGTTTAAAGATAAAAGATGAAAACTATCTCAAAATTTTCTATATTCCACATATATTTTATAAAATATTAAATTTAAAATTAAAATTTTTTATTTTTGTTGTAATATAATTTATTAGTTAGATTTTTTTGTTTTTAATAGAAAATAGATTTTTAAAAATTAAAATTAAGTTAAAAATTCATATTCTTTTTTTAAATAATTTAATATCATTTAAAAAATATTTTTATTGAAAATATTTTACTTGGTATATTATTTTATTGAAGAATTTTAGAATGTTTAAGAAAGAAGGCTTCATATTACTTTGAGATTTTCTTCAAGGTAATATGACCGTATTATGCCTCAATTCGGAGCGTGACATAATGTTATATGATTACATCAACTAACATCGCACGTAACAAATGAGGGAGCAAAATAAAATTATTTCAAAGTTTAAAGATAAAAGATGAAAACTATCTCAAAATTTTCTATATTCCACATATATTTTATAAAATATTAAATTTAAAATTAAATTTTTTTATTTTTGTTGTAATATAATTTATTAGTTAGATTTTTTTGTTTTTAATAGAAAATAGATTTTTAAAAATTAAAATTAAGTTAAAAATTCATATTCTTTTTTTAAATAATTTAATATCATTTAAAAAATATTTTTATTGAAAATATTATTTACTCATAAATCATAATAAAAAAAATATTATTTTCTATCTAAAAAATTTATTTTTTAAATTATTAAATATTAAATATTTTTTCTTTCCATATATATTTCGAAAATCACTTTTCATATGTGATAAAAAATTTTCATTCTTTTGGATGGGTTTGAATTCTAACGACAAGGTAGTAATTTAATTATTTTGGATGATTTAAGATCATTATCACATAAGATTCTCAAGTTATTACCAAACACGATGATCTTATCACTGTGATTAAATCAGTTCTCAAATTATTGTTAAATACAATGATCTAATTACGATGATTAAATCAACCTTCAATTTTAAAGATATCACCCTATACTATATGCACACTTAAGAGATAATATATGATAAATTTTAAGTTTAAATTTCAACATTCGTAACCCTTTTTTTATATCAGAAAGTTGCAACCTCTTTATAAAAAAGAAATATCTTTAATACTTATTTTAAGAAAAATCAACTATCTAAATTACCTTGCATTCTTTCTTAAAATGTCATATAAATTCCATTAAGTTTGTGTAATCATACAAATAAATTATAAGCAATTAATTGATTGCTCAAAAACAAATAATAGAAATAAATGAAATTCAATTAATTGATTTTGAAATATATAAATTTTAAATTAAAAAATAAATAATTTTATAAATTTATAATATTTGCATCAGATCTCTTTCAATATTTTCAATTTAAAATAATTTGTGTTTTGCGATGAAAAATATGAGCATCTCTAAAAATTTTCTTCCTCCTATCAAATAATAATGTCTTTCTACTATTTTACTCACTCCTTCGTCATCCACTTTTTCTTCTTATCAAACAAAACTTATTCATTAAAAATAAAGCATAAAAAATTCTATATTATTTTAGTTCAAAACTCCAAAGTCCAAATGATGCATTAAGAAAAAATCTATTATATATTTTCTTTAGGTTCATAAATACTAGCTAGTTGATTATTTATGCCTTATTTATGCCTTGCTGCGAGGTTAAATTTTATTGAATAGATTTAAAAAATTATTGGTATAAGTTATTCTTTATATAGTTGTATATTATTTTGCATCTCTTAACATATTTTCATTTTTTAAAATTTAAAAAATACAAATAAATTGATAAAATTTTGCATTTAATTATATTTGTACAAATTATTTTAAATTATAGATCTTCAAAATAAAACATTTAAGTGAATAGAAGAATAAATAAAGAAAACACAAAAAATATACTGTTTAAAAATTTTCATAATTTTTTATTGTGGAACCCTTGAATATTAGATTCAATCTAACTATTATAGATAGATTAAAATGTATGGTGAATCAAACAAATTTAAGGAAGAAAATGGCCAAAAAAGAAGTCTAAAAATTTTCTCTTACTTTTTAGGTTGAAATTGGTGTTGGAATTTTAAGGGTAATTTTGCACGGAGCATTTAAAAGAGGAATTTTATTTCAATCAAGGTTTTCAAAAGTTTATAAATAAATTTACTTGTTTGAATAAACATAAGAGAGAATTTAAGAATTTAGGTAAAATTTCAAGAAGGAATTTGAGGTATTTAAATTTTTTTTTTATAGGGATGGCAATGGATAGCAAATAAGGGATATCCATCATTATTTAATCTGTTTATGTTAGATTCATATAGTTATAAATGAATAATTAACAGATTTGGATAAAAAATTTATTATCCATAGCAGATTCAAAGCGGATATGAATAGTATTTTTTGGATATCTAATATTCAAATTTATTTAATTTTTAATAAATAATAATGAATATCCGAATTTACATCCGAATCCGTTAGCCATTTACATATATAAAATATATAAAATTTTATACTTGTAAAAGATTTGAGACTTTAAAAAATAACTTTCATTTATTATTGATTAAGAGTGAATTTAAATTTTAAATTAAATTTTGTTTATTTTATATTTTGATAAAAAATTTAAATAAACAAATATTTTGACAAATTTGGATATTTAAACGGATAATGCTTATGTAAATAAATTCAGATTTGGATAGTAACATTAAACTTAAAAGGGATATTTAAATAGATTCATATATTATAAATATTAAATAAATTCGGATATGCATATGTCAGAAATAACGAATAGTCACTCTGATGCCATTCCACTATTTTTTTAACCTAAAAAATTTGTTTTTCAAAATTTCTCAAAATCCTCCATTTATTTATTGCATATAGCCATCATAAAATACAAAACTAAAAAAATATATTTTATTTAATTCTAATAAATATTTTTAATTTTTTGTATTATTAATAATATCTATATATTTTGACAAATCTAATGATATGAATATTTCATCTTTTATTTATATATATTTTTATCTTTAATATCATTATTCTTCTTTTATAATTATTTTTATCTCATCAAATTCTATCAGACTAAATTTATTTCTAATAAATATTTATTCAAATAAAATAATTATAAATATTAACAATTTAAAGTAATGCATTTTAAAATAACTATTTAAAAATTCTTTAAAATTTTAAAATTCTACGTCCAAAGGGCACTCTAAAGGCTTCAAAACTTAAGTTTGTCCAAGAGTAATTGGGCCGAGTAATTTTGGGTCGGATCACGGCAACAATCCATTCTTTTGCCCAAAACCTAAACCTATGAAGAAGCCGCTTAAAAACCCTAGAGTCAGAAATCAATATATTTGTTAGGTTTAGGTTTGGCTGCCTCCTAGTTCACCATCCGCACCGAAAACAGAGCTAGGGTTCTCTTTCTTCCGCCGCAGTAATGGTACTCTCTGTTGCTCTTCCTAACTCTTCCTCTTCGTTGTTTGGTTTTCTTTATCTTTTGAGCATATATTTCGGATCTGTTTTTCTCCCCAACAAAATGTTTGTAAAATGGAAATAACCAAATCGAATAAGTTGTTAAGTTTATGGTCATGATTCAGAAACTTTATGGTGAAATTATTTTCGTCTATCTGCCCTTTACTGTAATATTTCCCAGCTTTTAGGATAGGTTACTTAATTTTTTATTTTTGTATGTTTAATGATACTTGTATTCAAGACATCACCAGTAAAGATGTAGATTTTATACTATTTTGGTGAATAATGATAACTGTAGAATGTTTGAAATATGAAAATTGGCCATGAATTAATGACTTGAGCCTTGGCTTTCTCTCAGAAATCCTGATATAAAAAATTTGTTGATGAGGTTGCAAAGTATGGGTAAATTTTGTTTGTGGCAATATTGTTTGTTTCTTGTTGTCAATGAAGTGTAAACTATGTCTTTATTGAGGAAATGGGTTGTTAAATTTATTGCTTTTTTATTTTGTTTTGTGGTAATTGTGACTTGGTATTGCAGGTGAACGTGCCTAAGACCAAGAAGACTTATTGCAAGAGCAAGGAGTGCAGAAAGCACACCTTGCACAAGGTTACACAGTATAAGAAGGGAAAGGATAGTTTAGCTGCTCAAGGGAAGCGCCGTTATGATCGCAAACAATCAGGTTATGGTGGTCAGACCAAACCAGTGTTCCACAAAAAGGTAATTTTTTGTGTCACTTATCTTTTATCCCTTGGGTGGATATTAGCTATATAATGAAAAGATCAAGAATCTTATGCTGTATATTTAGTACTAGTTTTTAAGGGGTGTTTAGTTATTCCTTTTATCACTTTGATTATTTCTATTTCTTGGGACTCCAGGCCTTTCTTGTATATATATGACTGTATGCTTTGAACAGGCCAAGACCACCAAGAAGATTGTGCTAAGGCTGCAATGCCAGGGTTGTAAGCATGTCTCCCAGCATCCAATCAAGGTTGGTGCACTGATAACCCCTTGCTGTTTTAATTTTGTTTTCTTTTACCATGTTGTTTCATGAGCCAAATTTTGGTTGTTTGTTATTGGTTTTTTCAGAGGTGCAAGCACTTTGAAATTGGTGGAGACAAGAAGGGGAAGGGAACATCCCTTTTCTAATTGTGTTATTCGTGTCATATGTGCTATGTTGGTTTACTTTACTGCAGTAGTTGGAACTTGGAACTTTAAGGCAGTATGGAATTTTTTTAAGTTTGCTTTTTAGTTTTCTGATGATGTTTTCAGTGGATACGGTGTTCTTTAATACTTAATGCGATCGTTTGCTCTTATTCTTAGCATTTCTTTCACTAGTATTTGTTGAATTTAATCTTCTTCATTATATCTTTTCTTAATAGAGAAATTCAGTACAAGGCAGGCGAGATTTTTATATTATTATCTTATAAAAACCAAACTGTTAAAGTCTGATTTAATTGAAAACTTGCAGAGTCATGGTTTTGCTGCCATTCATTTGATTATTTGCCCTACTAAGGGCTAAGGTCTTATTTTTGTATAAGATATCATTGCACCGTGAATTGCATTTGGGTAGCACTCCGGTGGAGTTGAGGGTTTTCATTTGTAAAATTTTTTAGGTTGGAGGGGAAGAGTTCAGCAAGTCGATATTCTTAGATAACATACAAATACATCTAATGGTGCAGTTGGAGGTTTTCAACTGTAATTGGTTGTCTTACAAAACATTTATTTTTTTTTTAAATTATGGCAGTAGATTTTTTTTTTTATTTTCTAATTATATTCGGGGTATGTTGGTGGAGCATAGGATTTTCAGTTTAGTGAGGCTTAAATTTTGACAATTTTAAATATAAAAAAATATTAATTTTGGTGAGGATTTAAATTTTGATAATTTTAAATATAAAAGTTTTTAATTTTGCTGATGGAGTTTAAATTTTGATAATTTTACATATATATATTTATATATTTTTTCCTTCTTGTGACACGAGAACTTCGTCATGTTAGCTTTATTTTAGCCACGGTTGTCATTTTAATTATCATGTTAGTTTTTTTAATATATATTTAATTACTTTGATTATTCATGAATTTATGATATTCGTAAGCTCAATTATTTGTAGATAAATGTATTTATTATTTCATGTTATTTAAAATTTTGAATTTAGATTTATATTTACTATTAATTAATTATTAATCAAATAAAAAATAAATGAATCTAAATATTCATGAGCTTAATCATTTATGAATCAATGATATATATGAATTCAATTAATTTTGGATAAATGTATTTAGAGGACATTTGGTTCAAAAAGTTAGATTATTGGTTGGAATTTTATTTTTTGTAATTTGATTCTTTATTTTAGTTTATGGTATCAGATTCTTAAGGTATTTTAAAATTTTTAATAATATTCAATAAAAAAGGGGATAGTTCGAAATCGAAACTCACTTCTTTATAAGGTTTTTAAAGATTTTTAAAAGAAAATGAATTGTCTCACTTTTTTATCTCAATAATAATTTGTTATGCTCTATTTACCTTTAAAAAGCAACATAATTTTAAGATAAATTGAGATTCATTTTGTCACAAAAATTTGCATTCTAGTCACACGATTAGATACATGAAAAAGATTAGACATGTAAAAGATTAATTATAATAAAAACAATGATTTTAAAAGAAAAAGCAAAGTAAATTTATTGAAATTTAGGATTTGATTTTTTTTATTTTAAGAAGCACTATATTTTTTTTATATGAAACGTAATTAATTGTATAAAATAATAACAAAATAATAAATAAAAATATTTATGATATTTGAAACTACATTTTTTATATAAATAATGAAGTATATGATAAAAATAAAATTTTCTCTAATCAATAATTACATTTATTGTTATGGAAAACGTAATTATTAATAAATCGTAGTAATTGATCACTTAAAAACGTAATAAATGTTGTGTTTATTTATTTCTCAAATGCATTGTTTGAAATACACAAACATGGTGTTTGTTTAAAGTCTATGTTTACAAAATCAAATGTCATACTTGTGTATAAACCAAAACGTAGTAATTATTTATTTGTAAAATAAGTGTTTGTTATTTATTACAGTATTTATATAATAAAAATATCGTACTTATTAAATAATATTTTTTTATTGTTTATATAAACTACGTTTATAATGAACAAAACGTCATTTATTTTTTTATTATATTTTGTTTTTTTTGTTCATAATATGCGATAATATTATTAATATTATGAAATAATGATTTTTTTAAAATTTTTGTTATTTAATAGTTGTCACATATTATTTTTAATAACATAATTACGAATTAAAATATTTATCAAGTGAGATTTATATGTCATGAAAGATATTATAATAAAAGCTTTTATTACATAATATGAGATTTTACCGATAAAACACAAAAATTTAATATTCTCAAGTTAGGAAGAATAAATCATTATCAGCAATCTATAGTTTTTCAAAAATTACTTTCCCTCCCAAAATCTTAGATTTTACGAATCAAACTCTTTCATTAATGTTTAATGTAATTTAAGTTTAACATATTTATTAAATAGTATAAATACACATAAATTAAATCATGATAGTTTACCAATATAAGTTCATTGCCTCCATATTATTCTCTGAAGAATTTCCAAAAAAAAAAAAAAAAGCACTAAAGAATAGGATAAACTGAACAATATATCAAAAAATTTTATTATAATATTTATATAAACATAATTTCTTATGTTATCAATCTAAAAATTATGATTTATTTTTATATTTTATCTTATTTTCCTATATTTTAATATTAAAATAATTCAAAAAATAAACATATGCAATAATGTGAGGGGTATAACATTAGTTATATATATATATATATATAAATAAAGATCAACTTATATTAACATAAAAATAAAAAGCTTCATATTTTTTTAATTATTAATTTTTTTAAATTAAAGAAATGAAAAAAATAAATTAATCTCATTCTTTAAATTTATTAAAATCAATTGTTAGTAATTTTTTTATTTAAGTTCATCGTTCTTTTATATATATAAATAGTTGGGGAAATCAACTCCCAATCTGAATATGTTTAATTAATACTGTGATTTGTAACCGCATAAACTAACATCCTTTTTTTTTTTTTTTTTAAACCCAAAAAAAAGACAAAAAAAGAAAAGAAAAACAGGGCCTTGAATCGAACTCCAGAAAGAAGCAACCATTTTCATTCTTCTTACAAACAAAAGCTGAGAAGTTGCTTGTAACTCCACTAAGTCTAAAACCCATCCTATCCCCATTGCTCCATTCCCGTTTTCCAGAAACCCTAGCCACATTTCGTCGATGAGGCAACCATGAGGGCCCTAATTTCAGGCACCAAACGCCTCATTTCTTGCACCACCACGCTGGCTACCCTATCCCGAAACTACAGCCTGATACCGATGGTGATTGAGCACTCTTCACGCGGCGAGAGAGCTTACGACATATTCTCTCGTCTCCTCAAGGAAAGGATCGTCTGCATTAACGGACCCATCAACGACAACACTGCCCACGTCGTTGTCGCCCAGCTCCTTTTCCTCGAATCCGAAAACCCCTCCAAACCCATCCACATGTACCTTAACTCCCCCGGCGGCCAAGTCACTGCAGGTCTTTCCTTTTACCCCTTTTCAATTTCCAAAAATACCCAATTCTGTCATAATTCTCAATAATCTTATTTTTGTACAGGTCTTGCAATTTATGATACCATGCAGTACATTAAGTCTCCAATCAACACAATCTGTTTAGGGCAAGCTGCATCTATGGCTTCTCTCCTTTTGGCTGCGGGAGCCGGGGGTGAAAGGCGGTCCCTCCCCAATGCCACCATCATGATTCATCAGCCTTCTGGTGGATACAGTGGCCAGGCTAAAGATATGACAATTCACACTAAGGAGATTGTTCGCGTTTGGGATTCATTGAATGCTTTGTATTCTAAGCATACTGGGCAGTCAGTTGATGTAATTCAGAAGAATATGGATAGAGATTATTTTATGACCCCTGAAGAGGCTAAAGAGTTTGGGTTAATTGATGAAGTTATTGATCAAAGGCCAATGGCTCTGGTCACTGATGCTGTTGCTAATGAAACCAAAGATAGCAAAGATAAAGGGCCCAGTTAGGATTAGAGGCAGTAAGCTCTTTCATGATTAATTGTTGCTATTCTCCAATTTCATGGCTAACCGTTTGTTTAGCAGTTTTTTGACTGTTGATTGATGTTATGCTTCTGGAATCAATTTCTGAGATTTAGGGAGCTTGCTAGCTAATATTTCAATCAGTACTTTTATGAGATTAGATGCATAAAGTTTTGCTAGCAAAAATTTTTATTTGAGAATCTTTTAGGGATGTGCACTTTAGTGGAAAAGTATAAATGAATGAGTGTTTATATATGTACCTACATATATATATATATATTTTGTACAAAGGAAGCTGCAGCTTAGGGATAGGGGAAGGTTGCAAGTGCTGGATTTGCTATTACAATGGTTATTTTGGTTTTGATGCCTCTTAATTTAGATAATCTACTCTTTGCAATCTAATTGGGATTGGCAAAGGATAAGAAATACCATCGACATGATTAAAACATTAAGTTTCCACCTCACCCCTTCCCCAATTGAAGTATCGTACTCCCCTTTTCTCTCTTGCTCTAATAGGTTTTGAAAATATATTCCCTAAATTAGCAACTTTATGGTGTCTGGAAATTAAATCATTAAAGTGCAAACAAGTTTCTCCTTGTCCTTCTGTTCTTTTGATTTAGCTAGAGGAGTATGGTTTTTTGTCATATAGATGCATTGAACCTAGAATGAGCCAGGACCTTGACTTGTTAACCTGCATTTTAGTCTCCATGTATAATGAAGCTTCCTACTGATTCTTTGTTTCCTGGTTGCAATTTTCAAATGTTGGTTACTTAGGACAAGATCTTCAAGGACATTATGTAGTAGGATAAAAGGTTAGTGTGAGATATGTTGAGTGTCTTAGCTTCTTAGGTTTCTATGCAAAAGTGAAACATATTGAAGCAGCTATTAGGCATAAGTCAAGGGTTTTATTGGAGTTTTTGAAAGACTCAACCTAGCCATAATCTCAAACTGGGTGATGCCTACTCCATGATTTGTTTACAATTTGTCTTAGGGCTAAATGCAAGGAGGATGCTTGATGGATTTCTTCACAAATTTCTTGGTTCTTACTGATGTTTGGTCTGTTTTTCTGTGCCGTTCTTGTTCGATCAATATTAAAATTCTTCAGACCCATGTTTTATACGACTGTGATACAAAATTGCACACTAATTTTAGACATTCATTGAATTTCAAGGCTCTGGATTGTTCCTGAGAAAATTATGATTGAAGGTGTTTTTCAAAAAGAATTCTAAACATTTCAATTATGGTTCAAATGAATAGTGGTAGTATTAGAATTAGGTGCAAATATGATATAGGTGCATATGTGATTTCTGTTGAGAATAGTTATCTGTGGTTTTCGAAATGGTGAGATGTTGCCAGTTGCTATGACTGTCTTGTGAAACCGAAAATAGTTTCGAGGAAACTGCATATAGCTGTAATATTCTTGATAACTGGCAGGAATGACTAATCTTAGTTGTGTTATGTTGAAAAGAAAGTAACCTCTTCCTCGGATCAAGTGCCTTATAGTATGTTTCAATTCTCTATGTCACTTAGATGCCCTACTAATCATTGTGAAGAGTTTATATGTTACCGAAAATTTATTGAACAGATTTGCCTGGTCAAAGCATAATTTCCAAAATCTTTTTCAGCATTGTAGTATTTATCTTGTCGTTCAGAGTTCACTCACTTCTGTAACGTTTCTCCCATTAAGATTATGCCATTTTCCGTTCAACCATCTAGAATTTATTGTTTTAGGGGTTTGATTATAGTTTATAAATTTGATATGGTGGCGCACTTATCGAAAATGTTCAGGCCTACGCCTCTCGCCAAAATTAAAAAAAAAAAAAAAACCCAAATGCATGGATTTAAAATTTAAAGTACGGGCCAAAAATAATGAAAAAAAAAAATTCAACATTCAAATGTGGTATCTCAAATGGTTCATAAGATTTACATGGACACTTTGCAAATTGACCTCGATTCATTAACATTTCCGAATGTTGTAATATTGGGATAAAAGCATATTTGTTTTGCATAGTGGATTTGTTACATTAACTGTTAAATTCAGATAAGATTAATGTCATTGAGGCAATATTAGGTGGATGATTCTTGTCTGACATATCCAAAGAACCAAGATCGTCACTCAGCCATACCTCAGCAATGGAAAATCGGTTAAAAGTGAAGAGAAAACAATAAATTACAAATATTACATATTTATATTTATATATCGACAATTTCAAATAAATTAGGGGAAACTATCGTATTATTGGATTTTTTTTTCTATCTATAATATATTCCTCACAACTTGTAGTCAAAATTTGATATGTAAATGGGAATAATATGACGAAAGCGAAGGAAGCTAATCAAGCGCGGCTTTGTTTTTACGAGCGGACATTGGTTTTGGCAATCCATCAAAAATAGGTCTTGCAATACCTACAGTTGAAAGTGCTTGTAAATCAGGCTTCAAACTCCATTTGGACGCTGGCCAGAGAGATGACAAACTACTACTGTCCTGATCTTGCAAATTCGATGTGCTTGATGACTTCCTCACTACAGAGAATCCATCAACCACGTAACCATCTCCAAGACCTGTTGGTGCGAGATTGAACCCCACAACCTCACCATCAGCTCCTGAATTACTGCTGCTTGCTGCTTTGGATCTCAGTGCCAGGCCTTTTGCGGTTATTGCTGAAAATCCTCCACCGCTGGTGTCATCCTCCTTCAACAGCCTTTCAGGGGTACGGGCAACAAAGTCAACCTCAGATTTCTGCCGTCTTCTGATCAGTTTCTCATTCGATTTATCTACTTCACCTTCTTTAGCTTCTACAGCAGACTTGATGTTTGCTACGATTTTACCATTCTCATCATAAAACCCATTAGCTATGCTTCTGCACTTCCGATGAAGCTTCAAAGGTGGGTTGGAAGCAGATGAGGGTTTAAGCAACGGACCATCCTCCAGATAATGAGCTTCTCCTTTCCTGTATACTTCCATCTCAAAACCTTCAGATAAAGCCTTTTTTGCTGTTGTTTTAAGGCCATAGTAACCTTGTAATGAGCTCATTGCTGGGGTGACCCTTCGAGGAGGAGTTTTCAGTCTCAAAGACTGGAATGAGTCAAGTAAATCAGGAGGCAAATGTTGTGCCGAGGTTTGGTTGGCACTGCTTTGCCTGCAAAGAGTTGTCGTACATAGTGAGGTAAATTAAAACAACTTATCACAATTAGGAAACAGAGATCAGGGCTGCATCTTGCAGGATTTTAAAGATGAGAGAAGTTAGAAAGAACTTCACACATACTTAAGCAACTTCGCTGAGACATTAATTATCAACTATTTAAGAACCAACTTGTTAGATAATATTTCTTAGTATTCCCTAGGGCGTCAAATCTAAAGGATTATCACTATCTGAAGCAAACTATTGCTGAGACTCATAGGCAAACTACCACTACAGACCGGAAAAGCTCTGAAACTATTGCTGAGACTCATGGGCAAAAATAATGCCTTTTCAATGCCATTTTCACCTTACCACTCCTACTAGCGAAACCTTTCATTGGCCATGGATGGTAGCAAAAGAACAATGCAACATCATATCACCACTTAAAATTCAATTGGGCTTCAACTCTTGAAGCATCACACAAATGTTTCCTCGCAAAAATTAGCAAGTTTTAGGCTTCTGGATATCTCTTCTCAAGAACTATATGCATCATAAAGGAAAATTAAAAATACTGCTAAGGTAAGGAAACAACATAGAAAAAAAGTATAAAAATACTGCTAAGGTAAGGAAACAACACAGAAAAAAAGAATTTCTACGCTAACCTGGATCCTCATTAAAATCCTAGACTTAAAATTTGAATTAACATCATCATCCCATATTCTTAAAAGCACTTACTGTGATGTAATTAACATTGGGTAGTAATTTTTACACACAAATTGCAGTTCGTTCGGGAAAGAAAAAGTTGTTGGATGAGTAAGCATTCATTATCAGTCCTGATACAGCACAGGACAAGAATTTCTAAATGACCAAAAAAAAAAGACGTAATAAGAATGCACTTAATTATTTTTAGTATCATTATGATCTAACTTAAAGTTCTTACGTAATGTTTGGTGCATAGGATGATGGATAGGATAGGATGATAATCATCCTATATTATGTTTGTTTTGTATCTAAAGAAAATGATAAGATTACAAGGAGGATTAATCATCCTCTTGGTATAGGATGATTCAATCCTCCCAAAGTGGAGAGGATTATCTTTAATTCATGGGATTAAACTTACATGTCCTATTATACCCCTAAAAATTACATCAATAATTTAAATTGTATAACTTTAAAGAAGGATAATTTTGATCAATAAATAAATTATTCTATCTTAATCCTTACACACATCAAATGTAAGATAAGATGACATTATTTAATCTAATCATATTCATAATTTATCTTATCCCATCTTATCATATCTTGTATACCAAACACATCCTTATGACATTATCACGTACGAAACAAATAAAAATTGCATTAGTTGTTTAAGTAAAGTTAGAACAAACCCAAAAATAACAATTTCAAGTCATAATCATAAGGTGACCAAAAAGGCATAACCAAAGAACAATTCAAGTCATAGTTATAAGATGACATTGCTATAAAGCATGACTTACTGAATGTTATAACAAACCCATCTTTCCTTGAGTTTAGATTTTCTTGACAAATTCTTCCGAAGTGCACTCTATGTTATGAAGCTTAACATACACAGGTGCAAATATGAAAATGCATATTATTTTAGCAGCCATGTCAATAGCGAAGTTAAAGAGAGTTTAAGTAAAGCTCACGAATTGGAAAAGGAAAAAAAAAATAGTATTAGTATTAAAGAAGACATAATACCCTGGTGTATGGAAACCATTGGACAAGCAAGGCGATGGCGGATGCCGCCCTGGTGAAGGGATCTGGAGTGACTTAAGAGCAAACATTTGAAGATCTGTAACCAGACCATTCATCTTTTTTATGTCAGCTACCTGATTAGTTCACACCCATAACAACAACAACAACAATTTGTCAATACCTCTACAAACCATAAACAATAATAAAAAAAAAAAGATAAAGCACTCCGATAGATAATTAGATTTAACTCCTAAGTTAACATTGGTCAATTTCCCTATTATACAAACAAGCCCGTTTACAAGGAGAAGAAAACACACACACAAAACTCTATGGTATGATTTATAGGAGAAAATGAATATAGTTACCTCAACGCCGTACTTGATGGCGACGCCAGCGAGAGTATCGAACCGGGAAACAGGATGTTCAATGAAACCGGCACCCGGTAACGAAGAAGAGGGCAAACTTTGATTCTTTTCTTTCTCTAAAACACTACAATCATTGCAAAATTTACTATAATTTACATTCGTACTGTAACTGTAGTCTCCATTTGCAATGCTATTCCGCCTCTCCCTTTCCATCTGCATATCCTCCGTTTCCTTAAAAAAGAAAAAAAAATCCTATTTCTTTACCCTAATTTCTTTACTCCCTCTCTTTGGCATATTTGACCTCCGGTTCTTGATTTATTTAGCTGAATCGAAATTTAAAAAATATGGAGCATTTAAAAGAAAGAAACTAATTGACTTTTTTTTTTTTGATCGAATTGAATAAAAAAGAATCCGTTTTATGAAAAGAAAAACGCAGATCTGAAGAGAAAGGATGAGGGGGAAATAAGTTACAAGTAAAATGGAAGGGGCGTTGCGTCCAGTATTTCCCGGAAAATGGATGAAAGATCCTCTTCTCTGTTTTCAGGAAAAGGAAAATGACGAACAAAAAGAGAGAGAACCTTCAATTTCTGGGGGAGGCGGTAGGAAAATAAAATAATAATAGAAATAAATAAATATATAAAAATAAAAAGGTTGGGGGTGTGCTATAAAAAAAAAAAAAACATTTGAGCCAAAAAAAAAAAAAGAAATCAGGGGAAACTTTGGTTTGTTAAATTGTTAATTGAGAAACAGCTTGCGTTATACGTGCTAGTGTAGCAATCTACCCACCGAAACCCAGTTGCTCCCCTCGCCTACATCGTTTTGTCGGTCGGTATTGCTGGCTTACTCGACCCCGCTTCGATCCTACGGGTTAGGGTGTTCATAATTCATTTTTAATTAAAAAATTTAAAAAATTAATTTAATTTAATTAATAGATTAATTATTTAATTAATTTTGATTGATTAATGAAAATATTTTAAAATATTTTCAATTTTTAATAAAAATTAAATTAATTAAAAATTTAATGAAATATAACAAATTTCAAATATAAAATATGAATTATATTAAATAGATCATTTTATTTTATAAGTTATTAAAGTTTTTAATATAATATTTTAATATTTTGTTAAATAATTTTATTTAATTTATTTAAAATATAAAAATTTAAAAGTAAAATATAATATAATTTAAATATATTTATTATTTGATTAATAAAAAAATTAATTGAACTAACGAATTAAATTTAATCAATTAATTTGTAAAATTACTAATTTTTATTCTATTAATAAAAATAAAATAATATAATTTGATTCAAAATTAATCAAATTGATAGAATGAATATTTTATTTGGACGAAAATTAAAATGTTATCTTTATTTATTTATCATGTGCAAGATAAAATGAAAGAAAAAAAAATTAAATTAGTAATTTTTATTTAATATTTTGTCACATTTCTCAAAATCAAACAACTCGTCTCTAATTTATTTTTGTTCACGCATTTTATAATATATCATTATAAAATTTTTTTTTTTTTTTTTTCTAATAAAAATAGATGATCATCTTGTTTGTTACTCTTTTTAACGTATCCATTCGATTGAGTTTTAGAATTTTCCATATTAATGAAAAAACAAATTTGAAATCATTGCCATTTGATCCGAATTTGTTTGTTGACATGAATAAAATCAGATAAAAGCTGTGAAATTATTTTAATATTAAACCTTCAACATATAATTAGTTCCGAATTGAATCTTTTCGTCTGTTCTCATCGATATGGTTGACTTGATCACTAATTTTGATAATATACGACGCTTCATTGAATAATTTTTATTATTTACTTGCATCGGAATTATTATTAATTTTTTATAGGAGCTAAGGGTCGTTCTTCCTCTTATTAATAATTTTTTTGGTAAGCAAATGAAACAATTTATTGAAATTAAAGGGAAATAATTCCATATGTACTCAAGACCCCTAAGTATCTTCAAATCCAATTGATATTTTAGTAGGTAAAAAATCACAATCACATGTTCTAACAAGATAATGACCAAACCTAACCCATATTTAACAGTTTTATCAATATTTATTTATGTCTTTGTACTTTTATTTCTGGCAAATTTTATTTGCAATTATATTTTGTTTTTATAATAGAATTTTAAATACAATCAAATTTCAAATATATTTTTTAAAAAATTATTCAAGATAGTCAATTGAATAATATCAGCATTTACATTTTTAATATTTTTAAACATGCATATCCAAATTCAAGAAAGATTAAAATTTTTCCTAAATACAAATCCAATAAATTAAAAACTTTTTGGATATATATTTCAAAAAGATTAAAACTTTAGGAATATACATTTTTTATATCAAATAAACAATACTTACATTTGTGTATTTTGTTTTCATAAGTTATCTAAATATCCGGAAATACATATCCAATGTGTACATTTATTTTTGAAATTATAAAATTTGTGTGATCGAAAGATTAAAAGTAATTTTAACATGAATAATTAAATAATTCACTATAGGGATAATTTTATCATAAAAAAATAATTTTTTGTTTCTAAAGAGACAAAGGTGACTGCAATTTCACTTATCTTTACCTATTTTTCTGAGGTCTCTGCCACCTTCTTCTTCTGATGGAAAAGGAGAAGGAAAAAAATAAGAAAGCTGAAAATAATGAATTGACACTAAGAAAACGACAAGTAATCTGAAAAAAAAAAAAGGCCAGAAGAGTTACTACAAACTTAAGAAAAGAAACGCGATTTTCTAAGCCAAAAGAGCGTATAAATTACAAAACCAATTTGCTTTATTTGGTCAACCCAGGGAGTGACACGCCCATGGCAATGTGTAAGGAATGAGATTTGCCAAAATTTTCAAATAGTCTTCCAAGTCCAAGTCATGTAACTACCCCTAATTTGACATAACCAGCTGAAAAACATGGTATAGCAGTTGATACATTTAACATTTGCAGAAATCTAATGGAAATAGTAAATACATAATCACACTTATCAAAAACAAGATAAAACACATTGACGAAATCTTTTATCTCTCGTAATATTATTGAAATTTGCTTTGAATCTCAAAATTTGACATTGAAAGTTATAATAATTTAAGTTATCTTATATCCCATACTGAGAGTTTAGTAAAGTATAAGGAGTTTTACCTTTATAAATAAGATGTTTTGGTTTTAGTTTAGTAATATCATATAGTTAGACACTAAGAGAATAATTAAGTAAGTAGGCTATTAAAAGAGTGTAATTGGATTTTGGGTTAAGTTTTAAGTAAGAAGTTTTTTGTAACTTTTTTCATTTCAAAAGTCTCTCAGTTGTAAAGATTTATTTGATAGCAGATTAGGTTTAAAGTAAATCATTTTCAGTTGGACCGAAATAAATATATTTGTGTGTTTTTATTCTTAATTTGAGCTTACTATTTTATTCGTGGGTGCTGCATGTGCATGCCAACAAGTGGTATCAAAAGTATATCAAAGGTTTGAAGTTCGTGGGGATGAAAAGGCAGGCTCAAGAGATCGTGAAGCAAGTATTTCAAGATGCCTTAAGAATGTATGTCAAGTATGCCTATGCCTAAATTTGAAATTCTGTTATTTGATAAAAAAAGTAATTTCATGTTATGGCAAAAAATGATTCAAGTACAATAAAGGTTGAATTAGGCATTAGAGAATAGTAAGCCTAAGAGAATATTTGACGATAATTGGAATAAAATTAAAAAAAAATTGTTAGAACTATTAGATTAACGTTAGCTTTAGAGATAAAGTATAATGTGTTGACTGAGAGTACTCCGAAGAGTTTGTGAGATAACCTTGAGGGTATTTATGCATTAAAGTCGTTAACTAAAAGATTATATTTGAAGATGGATCTGTATTCTTTAAAGAAAGAAGGTACGAGTCTTCATAATCACTTAATTGGGTTTAATAGATTGGTTTCTCAATTGCTGACGATTTTTTTTGATGAGTTAAAAAATGAATAGAATGCTTTAATTTTGCTGTCATCTTTACCCAAGTCTTATAGGTCTTTAGTTCAGATTTTGTTGGTGGGTAAGTTTACTTTGAAGTTGGATGATGTAATTATCCTGTTGGGTGAGAACGAAAGGTTTATAGAAACACAAAACTCATCACCTGAAGGTACACTAACTGTAGAGAATTGTAGAGAGTTTTGATCGATGGAGGATTTAAAAAAGATTGATAGATCAAGAGAGAGATCCAAGTCAAGATACAGATATTATAGTGACATAGAATGTTATTATTGTGGTGAAAAAGGACAGATTCAAGTGTGCTGCAAGAAGCTGAGAAGGGATATGACTGTTTTCAAAAGGGTGAATGAAAAAAAATCAGATGAAGGAAATAGTGATATTGCTGCTGTTGTGTCTAATGATGATGATGTCGTTTTAACAACTAGTGTGGATGAGACTCAGACTTTGAAATGTGATAAAAGTTAAGTTTTAAATTCAGCTGCTACAGTCTATGTTTACAATAATAAGAGTTACTTTGTGGAGTTGGATGAGAATAAGAAGTATAGAGATATTGTGGTTGCTAATAATAAAAAGTGTAGTTTTAAGGCATTGGTTGAAGTGTTTGGTTATTCAAATCATGAGAAGATTTGTTGGAATTTATTTTGAATATCAGAATCTCAAATCGAAAGTTGTTCTCAGTTACTAAGATTCCTGTGATGAAAGAAAAAAAGAAAGGCAAGCGTGTTAGTTTTATAGATACTGTTGAAGTGTTTGGTTATTCAAATTATGGGAATATTTATTGAGATTTACCTTGAATATCAGAATCTTACATCGAAAGTTATAAGAGTTTACTTTGGTTTTGGTTTAGTAATCCTAGATAGTTAGAAATAATGAAAATAACTAAGTGAGTATGCTATTAAAATGGTGTAATTAGATTTTAGGTTAAGTTTTGAGTAAGGAGTTTTTTGTGATTTTTCTCATTTCAAAAGTCTTTCAATTGTAAAGATTTATTTGATAATGGATTAAATTTAAAATAAATCATTTTGAATTGAACCGAAATAAATATATTTATATACTTTTATTTTTGATTAAACTTATTATTTTATTCATGAGTACTACATGTACGTGTTAATTTCTAAATAAATATCACCACCAAGAAAGTAGCTTAAGTCATCAGCTATAAATTGCAAGCATTGTTGGCTACTTGCACAAATACAAATGCCATTACTTTGACGCCAATTCCAACGTTTCCCATAGCAAAAAGTTTACCATGAACTTGTGAACTTGATTCCCCAGGGAAACTCTTCCGGTTGAATTGTTAGAATACCTGATATACACTATATACAAAGAGAAAAATTATGTTCAAAAGGTAAATACGTTGTGCAATTGATTACCCAGCACAAATCCCTTCTTATCACTAATAAACCTGCATACATGATATACAGATCTAATATGAAGCTTAAAGATTTAGGGAAAACAAAAGCGTTGGGCAGTTACTATTACCTCACTTTTTGAGTTTTTTTTTTAATAGTAATTCAGTTTAAAAGATATAAACTATTGCAGAATTTGGCACTGAAAAGGTACACTGTAAGCATTATCCTATGAGTAGGGCTTACTGGGTTAGAAATAGGTAGAAAACCATTAAGCCATAACTAAGGACATTTTAGTCAAAGTTAGAAAGTAGGTTTGC